AAGCAAACAACGTGGGGTAATGATTGGTAGTAACAAATATTGTTGCTCTACATATGAAGTCCTCCTTTTAGAACGCATCGTATATCGGCTCCCCATGCCTCCATAGCCTCTCCATTTCTTGCATCAAAGGCTCGAGGAACACATCTATATAATTGCCTAGTTGTTTAGGGCCAGAAATAAGAATAGTGAGGAGAAGGTACTTTCTCTTCTGACACAACCACGTTGGGATGTTGTACATGGTCAAGATCTCTGGCCATGTGCCGTGGTCGCTCATCCTCTCATTGAAGGGATTCATTCCATCGGTGCTGAAGCCAAATCATACATTCCTTGGGTTGTCGCTGAATTCTTTATGCTTCTCATCGAACCTTTGCCACTAACTATAATCAGTCGGGTGTGCAATCTTATCATCATCCACCTTGCGCTCATCATCCCACCATGTCATGAGTGCGGCTTCTTTAGGGTTTAGGAAGATAAGTCTCAAGCGGTCATTCACTGGCAGGTACCACATTACCAAGGCAGGAATTCTTCTCTGCTTTGCATCGTTTCCTAATGGAGTGTCCTCTGGGGGCTAAGATTCTTGTACCACCTTTTTTGTACCCTTCTTATTCCTCTTTTTCCCCGTGGAGGCTTCATCCCCATCGTAAAGGTCATTGTTCTTGTACCGGCTAGCCCCACACTGGGGACATTTATCCAGTGACTTGAACGTTTCGCCACAAAAAAGTATACAGTGGTTGGGGCATGCATGGATTTTTTTAACCCCCATTGTCAATGGACTTATGACCTTCTTCGCTTGGTATGTGTTGGCGGGAACTGAGTTTGGTTGTGGCAGCACCCATGACAGGAGATGCAATAGATCATTGAAACTACAGTCTGACCAACTGTACTTAGCCTTTAGGATGAGTAGCTCAATCACAAAACATAGCAATGTCCAATGTGTGGGACAACCCTTTTCAACACCATACACAGTCTCCTTCGATGCTTTTGTCACCCTTTCCAAATTTTTTAGACCTTTTGGGCTATTTAGTAAAATCTCTGGTCCAAGGGCTCGAATCATGTCCTCCAAATCATCTTCATCCCCGACACGTGCTCCACCATCATTATTGGTACCACCTTCATCGTTACCGTCCCAACCACCAGCATCACCACCTTGTTCATTGCCAAACTCGGAATCCATTCGTGCATCAAGCTCTGCTGAATATTGGGATAGGGATTCTAGGGTTTCATCGTCGTATTCCTCCTCATCCTTGTCGTTAACAATAACCATTTCACCATGATGAATCCACACTGTGTAGTCCTCAACAAATCCTCGCATAATCAAATGTGGTCTGATGATAGTCACATCTATCCATGCCATACGGTTCTTGCAATCTTTATAGGGACAAATAATTGTATCCTTATTCTCTGTCAATGTCGTTGCATACTTCTTTGCGGCTTCAATAAATTTATCCACCTCTTTACAGAAACCTGCCTTGAACCTTAACGAACCATACATCCAAGAGTTCCTGTACTCCATCTTTAACAACAACAACAAAACAAACATTAAAGGACTACTTATTCAGATATATATTAAAATGAATCAAATTAGTAACTACTTGAGAATAATTGTATATACTTCAGATATATATGAATATAAATCAAATATAATTACATGAAGCATACAAACACACCATGGTAGAGGAAAATTAATTAATGGCCCATTTATCCATAAATAATTAAAATACATATTTGTTGATTACAATAAACAATTTCAAAGACAACAATTAGCAACAATTATATTTTACCCAATATCTTTCATACAGGCCCTAGTCCAATTTCATCAAACATAAATTTACAAAAACAAAATTAATAAAAAAACCAAACCCTAGATCTAGATCTACATGCACATGAAACATCCATAAAATTAACTAATTGTTCACTAAAATCAAGAAACATGGACCAGTTAAGGGTATGATCTTGTTCCCCTACCTAATTTACCCTAGTACATTCAAAACTTGGGTCTAATTTGCTTCATAAGTGGCTCAAGCACCATAGAAGAGAGAGAAAAACAAAACTCTAATTACTCACTAACCAACCATTAAAACTTCAAAAAAGTGTGGAATAGTATTTTCTTACCTTCTACAACCTCTCCACCAAAGGATTTGAGACCAAAACCTTTCCCCCTTAGTAGAGCAATTTTTGGGAGGTGCCCAAGGCCTCCCCACCTTTCTTTCACGGGTTGTAGTGAGTGACCCAAGGAGGAAGAAGGTGCTGCAGTTTTTTTATACGTGGGTCATTTGTAGGGGCAGCGGATGATTGAGCCGTCCCTATAAATAGCAGGTAATTATACGCAGGACATTTGTAGGGGCGGTTCAATCACCAGCCGTCCCTACAAATAGAAACATTGGGGGAGGCTGGTGAGTGAGCCACCCTTACAAATCAGACCCATTTGTAGGGGCGGCTCGTATCACCAGCTGCCCCTGCTGTTCCATTTGTAGGGGCGGCTGGTCTCTAGGCTCCCGAGCACGCCACTGTAGGGACGAGCCGCCCCTACAAAAAATTTGTCCCGTTGCTACAAACCGGTTTTCACGTAGTGGTTAGCAGTGATAAAAGTTAGTTTTGGACTGCACTAGTATACCTTAAGCGTAGGCAAATTTTCCTGACAACCATCGACACATTTCTAATCAAATCAGGAGCCCAGTGAAAATTAACATGTTTATTTATCAACCATTGTCCTATGTATGCAGTGCCACGGGTGAAATCTAGACTCTTTATGTTCATTGCAAGAGGGAACTTCCAGATAGGGAGTATGTAATGTTCAGACTAGATAGGGCTGATATAAAATTGGCGACCTAGACATCTCTTAATGACCAGCTTGCGTATGCTGTCCGGGACTTTTTATACTACAAGAAGCAATGTGGAAGAGATTGGTGTAGCTAGTCTTCAGGACATCTATTATAATAGACATGCAGAGATTATGCTACAATACAATGAGAGGGAGAAGGAAATCAGATTAGTACTCTCAGAGGAGCCAGAGACAACACAACAAGTGAGCATAACACCCCTCAAGCAACCAAGGCAGCGGCCGGAAAAAGATGTGCATCCGTTTATGGATGATCCATTTGATGCATACAAGGACTGGCTAAAGAAGCTGCCAAAGGACAAATCCAAAAGTATACAATCTATGTTTCCGCATATGTATTCGTATTGTTTAGAATCTTAGCACCTTTATATAAACTACACCTTATTATCTAACATGTTTTTGGTGACTAACAGATTTGGGGGATGATTTTAGGGATGCAACAGTCCACACGTACAAGGAATATTTAAAGCTGAAAGGGGACATTCCAGAAATTAGTAATTAATTTCCTTTTTCAACCAATTTATTTTATTACTACTATTTTTTTTAGAACCGAAGCTTTTAACTTTGTGTGCAGTGGCATTTGTCGAGCAACGTGACACCGATGGCATTATAATTGAAGACGATGAAAGTAATGGAAGCAATGCGACACCACACTCAAATAGGCCAAGCCATGCAAGGAAGAAAAGGGAAGAGGGAAATGGTTTGTGATCATTCATATACTTTTAATATTGGGTTCACATATCTTAATTGAGAACTAGAACAACTCAAGTTCCTTATTGTCTTTTTTGCAAGGAGATGGCTCCAATCAACATAAGAAAAGAGGTCGTCGTGGCACTGTTAAAGGATTATCAGTAAGCACCAAGAGAGTTAAGGAACGCACTCAAAAACTCCTAATGGAATTTGGATGTCATGGAGGTCCGATTGGACCGAACACCCGTGCATTTGTCGATGAGGTCGTACTGTTTACAAGGAAATGGGCCCCATTAATTGGAGTAAACAGTTGGAAGGATATAAAGGAAGATGTTAAAGAGCAAATTACAGAACAGATACGTGTATGTTGAGTACTATTTGTTTCCTACTCATGTGATGCGTAAAATTAATTGTGATAAACGTATAATTGTTTTTAATTGTAAACAGCTTACGTGGAACTTCATCAATATTGCCACTGAGGATGAAAAAAAGAGATAATATGGAACATTGCCAAGGAGCGATACAAAGGATGGCGATCAGCTCTGAGTGCCACATACAAGGCTTATAACAATTATTGTGAGAGAATCTGAAATATTCCTGAAGAAGCACACTTTCTTGAGTGGCACTCTACTTGCTGTTGTATTTTGGATCTGAGAAATTCATGGTCAGTTCTAGTAAGATCTACTTTGTCAAACAAACTTTATCAACCAAAGTTGCATTATTACATACCACTTGTTGTCATTCTGCAGAAGGGTAGCAGCCAAAACTCCTCCAACCGTCAGCAGCAAAAAACCAAGCATCTGATGGGTTCAAAAAACTTCTCATAGTGTAGCTTTGAGCTGGTAATCATTAGATACACTAATCTTGTCCTTCCATTGTATGATGCAATACTTGTGTGTTGAATCATATTTTGGCATCCTAGAGAGACAAAGAAACTGGTGAAGAGCCAAGTGATCATTTACTTTGGAAGGCCACTCACACAAAACAGGGCAAATGGTCAAATTCTGTGTCATTTGCAGTATATGTGAGTAAATCTTTCGTCAAGCCTTTTTTATAGCTGCTGGTTGTGTCAAGCAACTCTAACGGATTCTGTTATTTCATTTAGGAAAAAGCCTTGAAAATGGGTGAGATTGAGTTAGAACCTGATAGACAAACACTTTGAGCTGCTGAGGAGAACATGATTTTCCAGTCATGCTACAAAGAAACCACACAGATCAAATCATCCAGAGTACATGGGCATGGATACTTGGCTAAGTATCGAACTCCCAGAGAACTTATGAAAGAGAACCTTGAAGTACATGCACGTGCTGAAGCTGCAGCCAAGGAGAAGAGAATTGCTTATGAAGTAGAGGTTGAGAAGCTGAAAGAACAGCTTGCGCACGAAGCTGCAGAAAGGGAAAGGGAGAAGGAAGAAAGTAGGAGAAAGATGCAAGAGGATCTGGAAAATGCTAAGATAGCACTAAAAGAAGAAATGAAGCAAGAATTTCTTAATATGCTAACGCGGCACAAAGAAGGAACTATGAATCAGGTAATATTTCAGAATAATTTTTTATCCTTCATCCTTTTAATAAATTTATTTATGATTATGATGCCTAATGTTTTACCTCAATATTTGTATGTGTAGAGTACCCCGCAAAACAATGACAACATACAAATTGCACCAACCACACAAGAGGACGATGAGACTGGTGAACATGCAAATGATGACAATGAAGATGCGTTACAGCAGGTAATGACATTTTTGCACTATGTTCCAAGTAATCTTGAGCTATGTATCTTAAACTCTAGCAAAAACAGATTGAACAATTTAATGTTTGTAGACTCAGCCAGGAAGCGTTGTCACCGTACAAAAAGATGCAGCACCACCTACTACTCGCTCCAGTAAAAATACTACTATTGTCACCAGAAATCTTTTCAAAGAAAATGCTGCAAATGTGGCAGCATCGAAGACATATATCACTCAACAGCAGCTGATGAATAGAACAAGAAATCCTAAAAAGAAGAAGGTAACAGCTACAATATGTTATCAGCTAATTGTGAACTAAATTGTGCTCATTTTATTATGACTTTTTTTCTGGACAGACCTGCACTAACACTACCATGCCATGAAAAATAGATATGATTTGGGTGTAATTCTTATTTTGCTGTGTTCTTAAATACAGAGTGCACCAATCCGCAATTTATTGAGACATTGGTCTACATTTATGTTTGCTGTCCCTGCATGCTTATTAGACACATCTAATGCAAGAATGGTTGCACCTACACCAAATATGTAAATAATTAGTTACGGATTTAATTCTATTTCACCATTCCCAGTTAGTAACTCTGTTAGATGTCATGCACTCTTGCATCAGTTGCTGAAAGTTTATCAAATGTGACCTTCCTTGTAGAACTAGGAAATGTAGGAAATACATTTATCATGCGTGCTAAAAACTGCAGCTTGTGCAGTTCTGATTGGGTGAATTATTCCGTGTAGTTAAATTCCCTTTTCTGTGATACTTAATAATACCAAAGTTGTAGGGGTTTTAGAGATGTTTGTCATCGTGAAAGTTCATGATTTTAGCCGAGGAGAATTGGGAGTTCTGAATTTTAGATGTATCCTGTCAGGTTTTGACCTTGCTCTGCACAGCAGTGAGACTTTTTGATTTTCGACCTTGATAACTGCAGAATCTGATTTTACAAATAACTAGAAAGACCCCTGGGAGCAGCTCAGTGGAACTTAGTGGTGTAATTCATGAGTTCATTTCTGGAGACAAAAGCCACTCGAGGAAGGGGGATATATAAGATGCTGGGAACTAAAAATTAAGAAATGATTGGAGACAAAAATTAAGATACTTTGATAGCAAATTGATTTTTTCTTAATTTTTTCTAGTTTTGATTAATTCTTCTTTTGCTTAATTACAACCATGTTCTATCTGAATCTCTTTACATTTTGTGCATGATGTAGTAAACCTTAATATTTTTCTAATATCCCAATCTTATTCTTTTGGTCAGTAGGTGGACAAGGTTTGAGTGGGAGGCTCATAATCAAATGAGGACATAGCTGAGGTGATGACATGTTGCTGCTAGGAAAACCTCGAGGTGCTGCATAGATGGAAGTCTTGTACTGCTGCAAGTTTTAAAAAGTTGTGAAATAATGAGTGAACTGTACACTCGTCTATGATTTTAGCTACTATTTCTTTGCTTTGTCAACTTATTGAATGATTGGTTATAATTAATATATGTGAGTGCAATTGCTTTTGTTATGGTTTATTCTTTTTTCAAATGATGATTTCTTAAACCACGATTCCAGTGCTACCAGTGTTGTAATACAAACTATGCCATCGAGCTGCTATGTGTGGCAATATGATATATGGCAACGAACTCACTTGCGTGGCAATACAATCTATGACACACTACTACACAAACTTTACTGGAGGCGGGCGTTTTCGGTTTACCGCGGCGGGCGGTGTAACGTGCCCGCTGCGGTAAATATACTTTTACCACGGCGGGCACGTTACACCGCCCGCTGCGGTAAATTATTTTACCACGGCGGACACCTTTTGTGGCCCGCCGCGGTTATGTTCATTAGCCGTGGCGGGCTTTATTATTTGCCCGCCTCGGTAAATTATTTCCTGAATTAAAAAAATACAGCAGGCATATAAATTCAAATTCAAATCACATCAAGATTTCACAGATTAAACTTAAAAAGTATGCAGGCATTACACATGATATAATATACATATATATACATTCACTTAGTCATTCTTGTCATCGTTAATTCATTACATTTACATATTAAAGTCGTTATACATGCGCTAAGGTGTAATCCTGCGGACGCATCATCGTGGGCCATTTCCTCAGCCTCTCGTACTCCGGTAAAATCGCTAGCGGGCTGTTCTCATTGAAGAACGTGCCCCCTTCAAGCACACATTTGTCTAAGACAAACTTACATATGTTCGCCTTTGTCTGCTTGAAGCTGTGTTGGGTGCTCTGCATGTCTCTCGACCAGTTCAATCCATTCTTGAGCACCCTCCAACTGCTGCTGTACTGCTTGCACACCCTCAGGAACTCACAGGCGTAGAAGCCACAGGTTTGTGATCCTACCGGTTGTTTGGCACACTGCATGATCGATACACAAGCATTACAACACAGGCATTAGAACGCATATGAACGGAAAGCACAATTAAACCTTCCAAATACTTACCGGAAAGTTGCGTCTGATTTTGATGCAGTTCTTATGCTTAGCCTTAAAATTCTCTGTTCTTCGATCATAGCATTCAGGATCCTTCATGTACTCCTTATAAGTGCTATCTGAAATGTACTAGTATTAGGCGAGGGGCATTAGAACGCATATGAGAAGACAGTTCGATCACTTACACTCTGAGGCAATCTTCAAAGGCCTTGTACCCTTTTAAGTTTGGTAATCGCATCAGCGAATCAAAAGCGCAGGCCCGCCATCCCGAGGGTAGATGATAAATGCAACCTAGTGACCCTCGAGACCTTGGCTGCGCCATTGAAACAAAATACAGGTTACGACGAGAAATAATAATACTAGCTAGCTACCCACTTATCTCTACAGGCATGTCTTCGACTTACCCAAAGTGGTAGGCAGCTAGGATACACCCATTTCCCCTGATCTTCTTCATTGCTCCTAGTATGTACCATGGAATGTTCAACTTCTCATTGTCCATCAGTTTCTTCCTGTGCGCCTCTCTCTATCGCTTGGTCAAGTCTTTCATGGTTGGATGATTGTCATCTAGGTGGTAACCAATGATGATTCTTTGAGCAATATGCATTGGAGATAGATAGATAACATCAAGTTTTAGTTCCTTGGATATATAGGCCATCAACCTGCAAGGACAAGCCATCGTGGCATATATAAGTAGTCTTGACCGATTCAAAGGCAGGTGATATGTGAAACTCGCAATTCATCACTTACATAGAGAACAAGGTGACTTGGGCGATGTCAAGGTCTTGTTCCCGCAGTAGTGTGTACATGTCGTGGAAGTCCACGGGGAGTTCTGCATCATTGCCGGGCAAGTGGAAGTACTCCGCCACAACCTTGACTAGAAAACCATGCAGGCCAGCTTTTGCCGCTTCCATGTACCAGAGATGAAACCTCCTTGTCTCCCACCTTTCCTCGTCGACGAGTTGGGCCTTGGTTATCATGAACTTCCCATGCTCGTAATGGCCGGGGCTGTCATCCGATTCAGGAAATAGATGGAAAGGTGATCTCGGCCTGGGATAGAAATGTTAGTACCATATTATGGCAAAGAAAAGTTATTAGCAAATTATGCTTGCCGCTACCATACCTTTCGAACTCAAGTGAGTATGTGAGCTGCCCTTGGTCGCCTTTAGTCTTCGCCGGCGGTGGAGGATAGTGGCTTGTGCTCGCAATGGCAGCAGGCGGTGTCTTTGCCCCCGGTTCCTCCGTGCCTCCCGGTCCTTTGCTTGTGCCCTTAGACGGACTGCCGGGAGGTGGAGGTGGACTTGTTGTTGGAGGAGGAGAACGAGGGTGAGGGCTTGTGCCTCCCGGTCCTTTGCTCGTGCCCTTAGACGGACTGCCGAGAGGTGGAGGTGGACTTGTTGTTGGAGGAGGAGAACGAGGGTGAGGGCTTGTGCCTCCCGGTCCTTTGCTCGTGCCCTTAGACGGACTGCCGAGAGGTGGAGGTGGACTTGTTGTTGGAGGAGGAGAACGAGGGTGAGGGCTTGTGCCTCTCGGTCCTTTGCTCGTGCCCTTAGATGGACTACCGGGAGGTGGAGGTGGACTTGTTGTTGGAGGAGGAGAACGAGGGTGAAGGCTTGTGCCTCGGGGTGAGTTCCTTCCCTTGTCATCCCCGCCATTGCCTTCGTCATCACCGTCGCCGTGATCCGGATCATCGGGGGGACAAGATCCGGCAACGGATGGTTGTGATGCTGGTGTCGCCATCAGCGTAGAAGTCGGTGTCGAGAGAATGATCTCTATGTCGTCCTTGTTCCATAGGACTTTGGAACCCAAGGCAGCTCCAAGGATCGTTACCCCTTCTGCAGTTGGATATTCCATTTCAAATTCTTCGTATTCGGACGCATACCATGTAAGTATCACGGCAGCATAGTTGGCAGGGATCTGGTCTTGGTTGAAATCTTTGATATCTTCTTTGGGGTGCATGTAACCCTCACCCACGATCAACTTTTTTGCCCCCGCCGAGCGGGATCGTGAGGTGGACGCGCATATGGGTTCCCGGATGTCGTGGGACGGGGTGCCTTGGGCGATCTGGATCATCGGCGATGGCTGCCCCTTGTGTCTGCCCTTGTGGAACTTGAGGCACGGCCACGCCAGCCTGGCGAAGCATCTGTGACCTCATCGACACCATATCTGGGTCATTGCTCATGAAGGCTTCTTTTATGGACCGGCTGATCATTTCGGCCATGCCTTGATCATAGCCCTTCTGAAAGATGCCCTCCTTGTACCTCTGCCTTGACCGGTATGTGGCAACGTCGGATTGCCATGACTCCACTGAGTTCCAGCTCATCTTCGACGACATGCCACGGACGCGGCCACGGTGCTCGGGGGTTCCCAGCAACAGGGTCAGCAAGTCCTGGCCCCTGCGAACCTCGAAGCTGTCCTTGTATTTAGTGGCCTCGATGAGAGCCCTCTCCACCTCCTCGAACTTGTATTTTCCAGCTCTGTCGTCTCAACCAGACACGCGCAAAAGAGAGATCGATCCCAAATTGATCGGACCCCAACAGGCCATAACAGAATCATACCTCCAAGGAACTGAAAATTGGAAGCTAGGGTCATTTTGCTAGGGACGGGATCAAGAAAAGACGGCGCCCAAGACGGCTGGAAGAGAAGAGGACCGAACAATGATGACGGCGCTCACATGGACGGTGGTGGGGAGGAGGACAGAGAGGGGGCGCGCGTGCGGTGGCATGGAGGAGCTCGGTGGCCGGCGCTAGGGTTCAGGGGACGGGGCCCAGCAGTGGAGAGGAGCTCGGTGGCGAAGCAAGGGTTCCGGGAGAGGAGGATGGAAGGCGAGGACTGCACCTGAGGGGAGGAGGACAGGCGGGGTCACCACGGAGGAGCTTGGCGGTGGGGATGCGGCGCTAAGTTTGACAACCCTTGAGGTCGGGAGGCGCGAAAGACTTAGAAAATTTGGGTAGCAGCGGCACATATATAATACGGATTAACCACGGCGGGCAATATAAGCCGCCCGCCGTGGTAAATGTTCTTATGTGAGCACCTTAGGCGCCCACATGATTAATCTATTAACCACAAACAAGGCATTTGTTACGTGCCCGCCACGGTTAATAT